GTACGTCGTTACGTCACGTATTAGTATTACATAAAACACAATATAATATAAAATCACAATTAAAAATATCTTAAACTAATACAACAATCGGAAATAGAGGGAAAGAAATACAGGATTGTGAAGAGGTTTACTCACATTAATCTGCTTCCTCCCATCCTTCTGACTATAGTTGCACTGATATATTTCGCTCTTTAATAGTCGCTTTATCTATTTCGACAAATTTATTTTGGTTATAAGGATATATTCTTAAAGCGTTAAAACACACCGAGTCTATGGCAAAAGCCGATGTTTGTGCCTTTTAAGCAATAAACTCGTAGAATAATATCCTGTCCGCAGCGCCAGTCAAATTGCGACGTGTCCGAGGGACCTTTTTAAAAAGCGAATATATTTATTAAAACTAGACTTAACTACTGGTGGTCGATGTTAGACCCTACTACTACGTGGTCAATATAAGACTGTACTGTTACATGGTCATTATAAGACTGTCTATAATTCTCACCGTTCCACCATCCCAACTATGATTGTTTATATTTCATATTCTGAGAACTCTAAATGAAGTATGCTTAGCCAGCTCTTAAGTCTGGAGTGTCGATTGCTATATCCTTAGTGTGGGATGATGTAACTCCCTACAGATTGAAAATAAATTGTTTATTTGTTTTTATTAGCTCTATTTGTCACGAGCACCAATATAACAGCGTTTAAAACTGAAGTAGCAAATCGGGGGATCACAATTCAAAACAAACTGTTAATGAATAGATCTGAGCAAAACAAACAACTAAATTCGGTTAGATTCACTCTTATTGGTTTTCAGAGTAATTAGAGATTCCAATGAACTCGAGAAGTTTACTCGAGCTATTTGGAGGCTTATGTTATTATTTGCTTTGTTTTATTGGAATAGTGACAAAAGGGTTCTCAGTTTTAATTGCTCAGGTGCGGGAGTTGGTTAAACAATTGTTTATAGGATGTGTATGAAAACCGTTTCAACGATCGCTTCTTTTACAAGTACAGAAGTCTGATCTATGTCAGGCTTCTGTGTCATGCTCGACCGAAGCGATGTAACCCAGGACTTATCGTGCTTCACACGTGCAGAGGAATTATATGCCATAATTATGTAATGCAAAGTCGTCAGAGCTTAGCAAGCAAAAACAAAATGCAGCTGGGTACAGGCTACTAGTAGATTCACATGTATGTCCCATGTATGCATCTTCTCATATATAACATGTGTTTATAAATGTAGATTTAAATAGACTAATTTTAAAATAACTATCTTCTTTATTTGTACACAAATTAGAGGGTCTTTCCGAAGTTCAGATTTTTCATTAATAGAAGTGGTCACATGTCTTGAATTTGGTTATCGTTAATAATTTAGAGACCGAAATTGCTAAAGTCCTTTAATCCCGACCGGTGTGGTGCATCTGAGCCCTCACACCCTCTTTCTACTAAGAGGGAGATTACCCAGTGAAAAGTCGATGGTTGTTATTCTTTAGTTATTAATAAAAAGTTATGAGACTAACACAAATACTTTCGTTATCAGACTAGCAGTTGCTATCGTGTCGATAAACCAAGTTTGTCTTCACGTTTATAATAAACATTACTTACAAGTGAAAGGTTTTTTTTAAATGGATTTAATTCGAAGTTGTGCACAATCTACTTACTACTACATAATACTATTCTTATTATAAAGCTGAAAAAATATGTATAAAAGAATAATTCGTCTTTAAATAATCTTATATATATTTTATATGTAACTTATGGCAATCAAATTACTTCGTAAGGCAAAGTAACGTTTTATTTATTTATTTAAAAAAAGGCCCGCCAGCGGGTATTACAGAGTATGAATATATAATATTGACAATATAAAGAGTATAGCTATCTGCATATCCTTTTTAAGGTAGGCACTACATGCATTAAACAGACATGGTGTGTGGTACAACAAAGAATATTATAGGTACAGAATTAATAATCTTAATAATAAATTACAGTCTAAACAGAGTGAGACAATCTTAAAGCTAAGGTACAATTATTTAACTAAAAATAGATAAACACATTTCTTCATTTTCTTTGTATTCTTATTAAGTTTTTTCTAGAGTAAGTTTGAGCAGCCTACGAAACCGGTTATACGATAGATGGAAAGGGTCTAAGTGAGACGAATGTTTGTTCATTAATTTACAAAGTCTAGGGATTGCGGAAGAGGAACCAAGGACGGTTCGAAAAAATGGAACGGCAAAAGGTTTAATGGGAAAACGGGGGTACTTCCTAGGAATCCTAAGTTTAATTTTTGATAAAAGGATAGGACTGTCTACAAAGTTATTCAGAATTTTGTGGAGAAGAGAAAGGTCAGCCATATTAAACCTATTGTCAATGGTCATTATTTTAAAATGAGAGGCCCTATCCTTGTAAGGTGCTTGTTTTAAAAAGGGGGAAAAGACTCTGGTGAGATGCCATATAAATTTTTTTTGAATGCGCTCGAGCCTTAATTGATGTGAGGCAAAATGTGGGCGCCAAACTTGACTACAATATTCTATTTGGCTGCGGACCAGGCTATTAAATAGTAGTACTTTCGACGTGCTATTTTTAAAATGTTTACTGTTTCTTAGTATGAATCCTAACATTTTGGAAGACTTTTTGATAACTGCGTCCAGATGCGCTTCAAAAGTTATTTTTGCGTCGATTAAAATGCCAAGATCTTTAATAACTGGAACTTCTTTTATATGTTCATTATCTAAATAATAATTAGTAGGGATTACTCTTAGGTTCCGTGTAATTTTAATATGTTGGCATTTGTCGTAATTTAGTAACATTTCGTTGTCTTTACACCATTTAGCCAATCTATTCAAGTCATTTTGAATGCGAATTGAGTCATCTTGTGTACCAACAATCGCAGCAATTTTGAGATCATCGGCATAAAGAAATGGCTTGCAATAACTAAAATACCCGACAATATCGTTAATAAATATGTTAAAAAGAAGCGGACCTAAATGGGCACCTTGTGGTACACCTGAAGAGACACTGTGGATAGTAGAGTTATAACCATTAGCAACAACAAAAAAAGTACGTTTATAAAGATAGGATTTTAGCCATAATAATAAATTACCTGATAAACCGTAACTTTGCAATATATTAATGAGCAATACATGCGATATTTTGTCAAACGCTTTGCTGAAGTCGGTATAGATCACATCACACTGTTTCTTTGCATCCACGGCAGTGATTAAAAAATTGCTAAATTCTAAGAGATTTGTGGTCGCTGATCTACCAGAGATAAAACCATGCTGGGATGGTGATAACCATTGTTTAAAGTGGTTTTGGATTACGGGGCACAGCAAGGACTCAAAAACTTTTGCAAAGGTTGACAATATAGAAATTGGACGGTAATTCTGTACCGACGACGCTTGGCCACTCTTGAGCAGCGGTATAACTTTTGCCATTTTCCACTTATTAGGAAATATGCCCGATTGGAGAGACAGATTAAAAAGTAACGTAAGTGGTTCGTCGAGGCACGTGGCACATTTTTTTATGAAAATGGCTGGAATGCCGTCAGCACCAGTACCTTTATGCGGGTTTAAAGCTCTCAGGCGACTAAGAACTTCTTTACGGTTAATTTGATAGGACGCCAGAATATTGCTACCAGTATGGTCAGTTGTTGATGTTTCCTTCATGACTTCTACCATACTATTATACGCATATACAGATGCAAAGTAAGTAGCAAAAAGATTACAAATATCCGATCCATTTGTCATTTCCACAGATCCGTCAGATATAACTCGCGGGTAACCATTTGTAGAACTATGTTTGTTATTTATGTAGGTCCAAAAGTATTTAGGGTTATCTTTAATTGATTTCTCTACAAGTTCTGTGTAAGAATTATAGTCTTGTATGGCTCTGCCCTGACATCTGTTTTTTAAAATATTAAGTGATACTTTGTCAAGTTCATTTTAATATTTTTTATATCGTTGCCTGTATTTTTCCTTTTCTTTAAACATCTTAATTAACGATTTAGAAAACCATACCGGATAACTGTACTTTTTAAATTTCTTCATGGGCACATATTTATTAATAGTTTCGGTGATCACATCATAAAAAATATCTAAAGAATCATCCACGTTATTCCTAGAAAGTAGCATTTTCCAATCACAAGTATTGAGGTGATTAATTATTAAGTTATAATCAGCTTTATGGTAGTTAAAGGAAACGTTATCTTTATTTTTTTTAAGGTAAGTTTTTTTAGATGAGAAAAAATTGACTGTAAAAGGAGGATGTAGGGGATCAGGGGGAACGAGAGGGATAGCAACAGGCGAGATTTCGCATGAATCGAGATCTGTCAAGACTAAGTCTAAAATTCTGCGTTTACTATTTGGTATATAGTTAAGCTGCCTAAGGTTATTTACATTAACAAAATCAATAAAAGTATGCCCCAACGGGGAGGTTCTGTAGTTACAGTCGTTATTGATCAATTGCCAATCCAAAAAGCTTAAATTAAAGTCGCCGATTATACAGACGGGCATGCTACCATCCAAAAATGAACAGGACTTATCGATAAAATGTTCGATTAATGTTTTACTAGCCGGAGGGGGAAGATACGCCGCGCAAAGTAATAAATGTATACACGAGTTGTTCAATTCTAAAGTTATAGTCACCCATAGGTCTTCGCATTTACTTTCATAGATCGGCATTCTTCGCGGGTTCAAGTAGTTTGCAACTGCCATGAGAACGCCCCCACCTTCTTTATCAGAATGAAAACCTGAGCTAATTCTGTCTCTTCTAAACACTGTATATCTTTCGTCAAATAACTCACCATCGAAGATTTTATCGTTCAACCAAGTTTCACTAGCAACTACTACATCAAAATTACTTATACATAGGTTTCTATAGAATATATGAGTTTTGGTCCGGAGACCTCGACAATTTTGATAGTATATTAACATTAATTACTATATTACTTCAATATTTTAAGAACAAAATATATAAGAGCAAAAAATATTCAAAGCCAACAATTACAACTACTCCAACTTCTCAAGAGTGTGCAAATTTTTTATAAAAATAATTTTTGACGATTCAGTTTTGCGCATATAAACACGTCCACCCCTAACCCAGACAAATTTAAATCCAAGTTCCTTAGATTTGGTTCTTGCTTTGGCGTGAAGGATTTTGTTTGCCGGAGAGAGGTGTTCTAACACGTATATAGGGTTGGTTTCTCCTTTAAATCCAATGTTGGACGTATTTAATTTATTGTCTGAATTGGCTTTGTTATATTGAATCACTGTGCCAAGAAAATTGTCCCTCAATCGTGCCGACTGGAATTGTACTATAATAGATCGTGGACGGGAGCTGTCAGTGTTCACCTTCGCCACTCTGTGAAAATCGGAAATATGTTCATCCTTAAGACTGAAGTTTACTGTCTTACTAATTTGCTTTATGACTGTAAGCAAATTCTCTTCTTTTCTCTCAGGAACACATTGTATTTCCACGTTATGCCCCCGTGTATATTGTTCCAAATGTTCAATCTTTACGCAAAGCTCCTGATTCTGAGAATGTAATTGTTGGTTTGTTTCACGTAAGTCGTGCAGTTCCCTGATTGTGGCAGCATGCTTGCTGTTTAAATCCTCATATTGCTTGGTTATATAAGTTAGGGAAGCTTGCAGGTCCTTAATATCATCTTTCAAGGGTGTTATTTCACGGCCTAACAAGTTCGCCATACGTTCTTCCTGTCTTGAAAATAATGCCTCCAGGTCCTTATGAAGTAGGTCTCTGACGACTGTACCAATCTCACTACTGTTAGCAACTACAGAGGTGGGGTCAGGAGGAGAAGAAACAGCGACACGTTTCTGAGGTCTTTGGGTAAACTTCTGAGAAAGATTGGTAAGTGGTAATTCCTCATTGTTGCCCTTTTTAGGTTTATTGCATTGCTGACAAACCCACGACGACAGGTCTTTTAAAGAATCAAAATTCAATTGCGACGAGCCCGACATACATTTTAGGTGATATGACATCTTACACATAGTACATGTTGCGTAATTATTGTCTTTAAACCCAATCCCACAGCAGGCCCAGCTTAGGTCGTCCATTTTGATGGTTTAAATAAAAGAAGGCTGTCGAACTCACTCCAAAAGTAGAATACTTTTATTTTAGATAACGTTGACAAAAAGCCTTGTATCGATGTTTCACGTCAAAAGACTTGAGTCAAGTCAATAGTCACAATTTAATATCATTAGAGATATTGACATACGAGGTGTTAAACTTCTTTGTTTTGAAATGAAAATGACGGTGGTTGACAAAAATTCCGAATGCAAGTCCAGCTATTACTTCAAATATATACGAATTAGAAAGTCCTTTCAGGTATTCTCCAATATATGTTACTAATTGTACCTTGTTGCAACGATTAAAACACTTTTTAATGAGGTATGACAAATCTACACACAAATAATTCACTGATTGTACCGCACCATGTTAACACACACGAGTTGTTTTAATGTGAAGTGAACGTTCGCTAGGTTATTATGATAAAAATGCAGTTTTGTGTGCAATCTAAAACTTTTAAACGATTCGTTAACTTAAATACTGTCTATAGTTTACGCGAGTAGTACACATTTAAATAAAACACTTTAACGGTTTAAAACGCGATATATTAGTTAAAATTATTTGAAAATGACCGTCACCCGTTGACCACGGCTGCTGCAAAGCATCCGAAACGTCGGGCCGAAGCTAAAAATCATGTTCAAATAAGTTTAACTAATATATAGCGTTTTAAACCGTTAAAGTGTTTTATTTAGATTTGTTAACTTGTTTTTTACTTACTTTAACTAAAGTCCAACGTTTCAGATGCTCTGCAGCAACCGCGTTTTTTTAAAATTTAGTTTTACAATATAGTACTCTGTTGTAAGGCAAAGCAGTAATATCTATTGAAATGTATGTAACAGCACGTAAGTAACTCGTAAGTTCATTAGCATTACGCGTATTAAGGTAATGAAATTCACTCATATTTCTGAGAAAGCTCGAATTAATTGGCCAATTTTGTCGCAATACTATGTCGCGAACCAGTCATTTACTATTCACTCGTGTGGCATTACATCGTTGATGTATTATGGCTTGAAATAGCGGGGTAAGACGGAAATATTTATATAGTTAGGTAGTAGTACTTGACAAGAAATGGGTTTTTGGAAACAGAAAATGTAGTTTTAATATAGATGTATTTGAATGTAAACAAAATATATATGACATGTATGTGCTACATCATATTTCTTGGCTATTTTATTATAACTTGTGTCGTCTATATACAATAACTTTACTTTCACATAAAAACCTGTTAAAAAGTTTTCTGCGCCTAGGACTAGAAATGTTTTAAAATTCTACCAGAGTTTATAATTTTGATAAGATTGGGCTTGTAAAGATAAGCTTAAAAGTTTGCACTTTACTCTATAAGTAATTTTGTAAAACTTTCAGAGAAAATATATGTTTTAAACAGTAATAAATAACAGAGTTAAGGATTCCTTTTTTATCCTTCGAGTACGGAACCCGAAAAGTGGTGTTTTTTAAAGAGACACAGACACCAGGCCATTAAGATATTATAAAACTATGTCATGTGACAAAGGTTAAAACGGTTTACAGAAACTGTCCCTTCTATATACTGTCGTTGCCAAGTAAATTCACTTTATGAAGTTACACTGGTCCATTTCGGTGTCCCGTATAAATTATATACGACGCTTTTGGGACGGCACGTGGGACTAAATTTATGGCCGCGTGTTTGTGTAAACAAGGGCGATTAGTTTGGGACAAAGGAGAGCCTGGGATTCCGTTATCTTTGTTTTTGCGAATCTCCCTGACCGGCGCGAACATATCGTTCTATCATTATAGACCGCAGTTGATTAAAGCGGCAGGTTCTTTGCAGCATAGCTTTCATCCGAAACGTCGGGCCGAAGTTGAAAATCATTTTCAAATAAGTTTAACTAATATATCGCGTTTTAAACCCTTAAAGTGTTTTATTTAAATAAAGCGGCAGAATGTTTAGCCGCGGTGTTGCTCGTAGAAATAAGCCCTTTCGGTCGTTTTTTCGGGAGAAGATTTTTTTTTAGACAACGTTGTCTATTACACTTTGTCCTTGTCCCTATCGTTATAATAGAAATCTAACAGGTTAGTTAAAAAAGGAAACGGTTTATATTTGTCACCATAAATTGGACATTATATAAATAGTTCTAAAATTCTTCTTCTTTTAATCCGGTACGCTCTTGACAGAGCGGTCGTGATCGCTATGTACTCGTAGTCTTAGAGGGGGCAGATGTGAGTTCTAAAATTAACCAATCAATTTTAACGTTAAAACATAAATTCATAGATTTAGCGATAGTACTGAACTATCGCTAAATCTGGTTTCAGATGGCAGAAAAAGCCTTTAGCAATGATTTCCAGATAGCCTCGACGCGACAAAGATGGTAAATTCAAAAAAGGAATTCTTTCGTACTTTTTTTTTCGGTAAACTGACAGCGCGTTTTCGCAGCGCACGCAACGGAAACCCTAACTGGTTTTCCTCGATTTTTCCACATTTCCCTCTATTTTCTCGCTCTTATAGGTCTTAACCAACACCTACCAACTACCTTAAACAACACAAAAATAATTTTAAATTTGAACTAGTTGATCCTGATGTAAGTATAAATATACATAATATTTGTATAATTACGTGAATATATAATCGTTTATAGAATTAATAGAGAGCAGGAAACTATCACGGTTGTGATACGAAACGAATAAAGAAGCGTTTAAATGAAATGGAAATGAGAAAATTCAAGCTAAACTGTTACCACTATGTAAGGTTGAATTAACCTTTTCTCCAAAAATGTGAAGGTGCACTAACGATGTGGGAAGCCCGAGCACTTATGAAGAGCTTCAATTTGTGGGACAGTTCATCCCACAGAGTAATTAAACTCAGAGGCTTTCGGCCAAATGTCATTCGGGTTCACGATTAACTCTGGCTTAAATTAAAAATGTAGGTAATATTTAATCTTATACAAAACAGCGGGATGAGTTTACGCAAGGATTGACCGTATATAATATATTTTATATTCAGGAAAAGTGCTTGGCCTATTCATTGTTTTTCCGACAGAAATCAATTTTACCAACACTGTACGAATATTCAAAGGAAACACAGGTCCACAACACATCTCGTAGAGATGTTATATATGGCTTGGCGTATCTCGCTTTCTATTAAGTAAATATGCTTCCTGTCCTCCTTTATAATAATCTTATACTTTTACATCAAACATTTATGATTAACTGTAGTTGTAGTATATATTACTGTCGTATTTTCAGTCATCACATACTTATCATAACTTATTAACACATTTAATTTTTCGTCATAGTCTCTATTGCTAAATATTCTATGTCAAAGTTTTGCTTAACAAGAAGTGAAGAAAGCTTTGCGTATAAAGTGTTATTATATAAGTACTAGCTGAGTTAGCGACTTCGTTCGCGTAGAATAGTTATTTTGGGTATCAATTTTTGTTCTTGCAAACCTCCTGTTAAATTCTATAAATCGTTACCCACTGCTGTTACCCACCGGTGAAGAAACACCGCTGTGTCTTCGCTCTTATGTGTCATAGTGTTATGTTTTTTAGCCTTTCTTAATAAATGCACAAACACAAAAATAATGTTTAAATTCGAACCAGTAGTTCCTGAGATTAGCGCGTTTAAACAAAGTAATAAACAGTTTTATATATAAGTATAGATTATAACTTTATATTACAGTGTCATTTTCTTGTAGAACTTAAGTTAAATGTATATAACATATAATGACTACGAAGACACTAATTGCTACAAAATATATTCTGTCACACCTACTTCCGTTCAATTATCGCTAAAAATGTATTCTTTTTCTTATTTAACGAAAGTAGACGACAACTAAAGTTTGGTGTCGTCTCCTTTAGGTTTATTAATACACGAAGATTAAAAATAATGTTTATAACTGCTACTGAATATTATCCGTATTTTGAATTAAAGAGAACTTGTAAAAGAAGACATATGGAAATATAAGTAATTACTCGAGCTTTGAAACAGTTAGATATGGTTTAGTCGTCACGTCTTTTGTTTGGATTTCACTACAACGTTATGAGAAACAATTAGAGAACATTTCAGATGAAATTCATCTGAAATGTTCATATTAAAAGGCTTGTGTTATTGAAGTTTTAGAGTGGTCTGTATTTTAGGCGAGTAGTACACATTTAATGTCGAAAAGTCGGACCGTAAATAAATAAGCTTAGATGTTATGTGGAGAGAGAACTTTATTGTCCAACAAAAAAAGACTTTTAACAGTTTAAAACGCGGCATATATTAGTTAACATATTGAGATTTTTGCTAACTACGCCCCGTCGTTTCGGATGCTTTGCAGCTGCCATGATCACTGGCACAGTTGGACCGTGTTCAAAGAAATCTTCTGTTTTTACATGTCTAATGTAGCATTCTATATCCAGCCTACCTCAGCAGAAAACGACGTAATTTTATTACAAGCACAGTCTGAAAACATTATATTTGAACGAAAGGAAGATGCAATGTTTCCGCTCACTAAGTTAGCAGACGTGATGGATGGTCTAAACATACGAAGGGGGTTTCCTAAGCCGTACTGAGACAACAATAAGATATGAACGTAATAAGTTTTCCTTACTAAATTAATTACTAGTTTTTAACATAAAAGAAGAAACAATAAAATTATTTTGATTTAGTAAAAATGGATAAGTAGATGCCAGACCCACCATAGGGGACAGGGGGTCCGGAAATGAGACTTGTCGTTTGTATATAATTCTCAAGTATATATTATTTAAATGGAGAAGGAATAGAGAACTAAATAAAATAAAATGTCGTTTAGCTTAGTGTAGATTTATTTAAATATAAAACAGGAAAAATATGATTTATAATTGTGACACTTTAATATGATGACAATAGGCTAAAACCGAGATGCGTTTAGACGATACAAATTTTTTTATTGTTAATACAAGGAAATTACATCTTTTAGTTACATTTAATTGGTTACTTTTTCAGCTACTTCAAAAAATTAAAACTTTGTGACGCCAAATGTTTTCTCTTC